AAACTGGCACATTTGAACAACCAAAACGGGTAAATTAAACATCAAATAAAATCCAACAATATATGCCATGTTTTTTGCAAGTTTTGTTTGAATGGCAGCAAAGCTGACTTGCGATGGGTTCAAGGTTTGCTCGGTTATTTGTCGTTGATGGTGACGAATAATTCCAAAAATCTTAAACTGGACAATTACTGTCAGGAAAACACAGAGAAGGAATATCGATATCTGCATATGCCGTACAAACGATCCGTGATCCACCCACTGTAGACTTGTTAATATCACATCAAATATCCAAATAATTGCCACTAAATGAAGAACACCTTGTGTTGTCACAAGTTCTCTGTAACGGAGATGAAGTCGAAGAGCGAGATATCTCTCACAACTTAACGCGCTTAAAGTCATAAATGATACTCCATAGCAAATCCAGAAACTCTCCGAGTAAACGACTCGAAAGGGACAAGGAACGTACAGCCTGGTGTTTTCCAGAATCCTGAAACAGCTGTATAATGGCTGAACTATAAGACCAACCAGAAAATCCGACACAGCTAAACACGCCAAAAGCACGTTGGATGGTGAGGCAAATGAAGGATTTCTGGTTATCACTGATACAATAAGAAAGTTTGAGCAAAGCGCGAAAGGAATCATAGCAAAGTTTATCAATGCTGTTGTGACGTTTGTTGAATATCGCTCATCTTCAACTCGGTTAAACTGTGGTTCAGGAAGAAAAAAACACTTATCACCATCCCCTGGTGAAGACGGAGAAGTTGTGTAACTGGAATGGTTCATGAATGCTTCAATTTCATCTACAGTTCTTGTAGTCAAGTAGTCGGCGTTGTTTTCCAAGTTGTCTCGAGCAGCCTGGGTCAGCCAACAGTCTTATCGATTGATCTATTTGTAAACACAGCTTTACTTTTCACATTTTCTTGGACACACATGTACCTTGTATAAACAAACACTTAGCTCACCTAACTTGTTGTACAAACTCCCGGGGGGGGTACTCCCCTATATTCGCTATACGGGGACGTGCCGCCAGCTAGGGTATCGTTTTCAGCGATTTTACTCTGGAACTGGGTATCGATTTTAGCGATTTTACTCTGGAACAGGGTATCGATTTCAACGAATTTTCTCTGGAACAGGGTCAGGGTTGAATTCCGGAATTATTGATGCTGGATAAAAATTCATGGGGTAAAAATTCGGTCTACACGCAAGCTAGTGCAGGATTTTACTCTGGAACAGAGTATCGTTTTCATCGATTTTACTCTGGAACAGGGTATAGTTATCAGCGATTTCACTCTGGAACAGGGTCAGGGTTTTGAGGTCCCAGCGGCACACCCCCACCCAAGTTTCGGGGGAGTACCCCCCCCCCTCCCCCCCCCGGGGAAAAATGGTCCTATGTGGATTCATCTTCGTTGTCCTATGGGCAAAATTGACAGTCCATGAAAATGCCCACACTAGTAAAAGCAAATGAGTGGTCAAATGCCCGCCTCATAAGTCAGTTTTTTACGCTAGTTTTCGAGTGTTTTTGTTGCTTTTTATATCGTGATTTCTCATCGTGAAAGTACAAAAAATCGAGAATGTTTGTGAGCCTCGTGGCTGATCATAGCGATCGGTAAAAATACTGATCTTGTGAAATAGCGCCTTTGAACTGTAAGAATATCGGCGCTATATAAATAATACGTATTATCATTATTATTAAAATGCTTAGGTTTCCGAGATATTTGTCACGAAATAGCGGTTTCGCATCTGAATCGATAATTTCCAAGATGGCCGCCTACTCGTCAAATGCCCGCCCGTCTGCACCTTTGGAATTGACTCATACATAACTCTTCTTGTACGATTTTTTTTCTGGGAAAGGGATYTTTGAGCTACATTGTTGACARTGKCACAAGCAAATGTGGCGCCCTTCCTTCTTTAAAATAATGTTGTTCCTGGTAAACGTTTTTTTGAATAGTGTATAGTGTGTTCCAAGACCGAAATGCATTAATGATATCAAACTTCGCTGTGCTACAAGTTGACAATTCCAATCCAATGAAGTACTGTATGTGGCTAGTAAAGTCACTCGAGCTGAAACAAAGGAGACTTTTTTTGACGCCGCGAGWGAACGACCAACGATGCATTTCGGTCTCAATAAACACTAWCCCAGTGTAGAAGSGCATATATTTTTTGTAGTAAGTGTATTTATATTGACAGAGTGATTTCCCATCGATTATTGGCCCCGTTTTCAGAGATCTGATCCAGGGCTTAAAACAGCTGCAAGAGGAGACAATGCAACACATACAAACAGTGCAATGATTACATTGTCAGCGGATAATGAAACATGACAGACTCGTACCCAGTCGCTTCTCCGGCTATTTTTAGAGAGGCGCAATGCATCAAGGGAAGGGCGAACCTCTTCGAGCGTAAGTAACGACTGGGTACGAGTCTGGAAACATGATCAGTCATTTTGACCTGCTCTCCAAGGAGATCATGGCATTTCTGTAGACTTTCGTCCACACTGTGTTAGGACAACGCTTTCCATAGCTTACAACACTTCAAGTCACAATGCTAACATTATTCGCATTGTTTGCCTCTATTCTTGTGGGGTTGATATCAAACGGTATGTTTTTCTGAGAAGTGACTTTTACGTTAATATCAATCCGCGCAGTTGCTATAATAACCGCGCGTCTAGAACTTGACGAATCTAAATTATATATCTTACCGTGTTCAGAAATTATAGCAAGAAAGATTAGTAAAAAATAGCTAAATCACGTACCAATGTACCAAAAGGCAAATATTCAAAAAGAAAAAGGATCCGAATATTTGAGGTATTCAAGACTAGACATTCAAGCAAATACTCGTGACGTGACGCTCTATCTCTGTGGACGAATCCAGACACTAACTGTTTGAGCTATTTATCCAGTCGGTAAACTCTTTACTGCTATCCCTGCATATGGGAGCGTATTTCAGTTGGAAACCATTTATCTTCTTATCGAAATATCCTCTGTCTTTAATTTGTCTATAATCATTAATTTGTCTATAACGCACATAGGCGAATACATCCTTGGCTTCCAGGAAAGACTCACGGGCATTCAGCCGTAAACACTAGACGAATACTGTCGAAACTTAACAACACACACTTATCGAATATACCTGCGCCATTTTTGGTGTTGACCTCCTTTTTTTGGTGTTGACCTCCTTTTTTTTAGGTGAAAATATGATTTAATGTCCCTGATTGTGAATTTTTGATCCTCTTTGCTTTTCGATGTGTTTTTCATGTTCCCCAGCAAGGCTGGGAAATAACGACCATGCGATGAAATTAGCCAAATCGCTAACTCGACTTACTTAAACCTCAAAATCAGGTAGATAACATCGCGCCAAGTTCTTGAAAAGTCATCAAATTAATAACAGTCACTTTATTTACTCATGAAATTCAAAATCACAGCTCAAAGCAGTAAAAAATAAATCGGTCCCGAAGTTCAAAAGTTTGTTTTCATCATACCATGTCCCCTCGGCATCTCAGGTATGCAAACTAAGGGACTGTGCGATAACCACCAGGAGGGGGGGGGGGGGGGGGGGGCGTAAAACCTGATTTCTTAAGCAGAAAATTAGTTAGAACCCCCCCTCCGAAGCACAAGAAAATAGCTCTTACCCCCCCTCTATTAGAAATAACGTCGAGCCCCCCCAACTGTTAATTAACCTTAGTTATAAAACAAGCACAAGCGAGTCGAGTCGACTGTAGCAACCCAAAATTCACTAAAGACGAACCCAGATGCAAGAGGTGGTTTACTCATCTGGATCTAAGTGTAAAGACAAAAACTTTCAGGAGGAGCTGACAAGCAAGTGTTGTGCCCTTGCTTCTTTCAAATAATTTTGTTCCTGGCAAAGGTTCTCAAGGTCCAAAAAAGGCTTATGTAATTAATCGTTTTTATGGTCAAAACCGACTTTGATATTACTTGTGCTTGTTATGTCTAATAAATCATCAATATGTTTTTCAGCTTCTACATCTTCAATTTATGTGAAAACTACACATCCTCAATTTATGTGACAAAATTGAAAAAATCAAAAGTATAAATATCAACGAGTCTTTGAATTTAGATTTCCATTAGTCAGGCGCGTAGTGTGGACTTTTTATGCACATGTCAGGGACCGTGGCACATATTTTGGATCTGGGGGTCTAACGAACGTCAAAGGCGGGAGTATTAAGGGAGTCCGGTTCTTCCCCCCCCGAAAATTTTGAAAAAAAAAATCAAAATTTGAAGGAAATAACTCTTGGAAATGCGATTTCCAGCATTTTGAGAGACATCGAAAATTATGAAAATTTTGAATGAAACTTTAAGGCCCCCTCTCTGTTAATTAGGTAATTTTACTTTGAGCCCCCTATTTTGGCATCAATTTTATGTAATGCCCCCCCCCTCTGGTTTTACGCCCCCCTCCTGATAATTATTGCACAGTCCCTAAAGAATGAAATTTAGCTCCACATTCTTATTTCTGTAATGAATAGATTTCTGCACCTGGAATCCCAAATCCATCAAAATATTGGATCAATGAAAATGAAATCCGGAACCAAATTCGTGGCTTCAAATGTTTCATAATATACCGTATTTACTCGAATAGACGCCGCGGCGTTTATTTCATTTTTCACGATCCAGCTGCGGCGTTTATTCGAGGGCGACGTCTATTCGGGGGCGGCGTTTACTAAAAAGACACTTTATTCAGTACTACATACAGTACTTTATATTGTATCTTTTTACTAACAAACAGTAACGATTCTCAATATATAAATGTCGTGTTCATTTTGTCTACTCAATTTATGATTTTAACCAGAGTTAAACTTCTATTTCAATATCAATGTCCTCCTTGTGGTCGGAATCTAACAGCTGCTGAGATCAAACAAGTACAGTCACACTTCGAAATAAAAAACGTTCTAAGAGAAATAAATTCCCATTTGCTGGTATCATTATTTCCTCAAATTGATGCCGCACCCAGATGCGGCGTCTATTCGGGGGCGGCGTCTATTAATATTTTGAGCTTTTAAAAAGTGCGGCGTCTATTTGAGGGCGGCGTCTATTCGGGGAAGGCGTTTATTCGAGTAAATACGGTAATTGTAAACGAGTCTATTTACAGCTTTTTGATCAAGAATCTCCATGGTGATAAAAAAGAGTAAGTAATCCCCTTTCTTTAAATCATTTATCCCTTTCAGGCGAGACACTTAAGTGCTATACTGGGAAAAATGAAACGTGTGAAGTTAGTGAAAGGGAAGGACTACCACCTTATGAACGATGTTATACATACAGGTACGTAGACCTTCTTCGCATTCATTGCGTCATCTTAGAGCCGAGCCCTCTGATGTCTAACGTACAACAACAAAATCCTAGATCGATGAACAGTATCAAACATTGTTGGGCTGCCTATGCATTTTACCATTATAGTACAAGTTTTTTTATTGTTTGTTGGATAAAGTTTGTTTTGTTTCATGTTGGATTTTGTGGAAACTGTATTTTCAACACGTTATCATTTTATTTTTTAGAGAGACTTCCAATGTGAACGGTAAGAAAGTCTTCGTAAAGGAACACCGTGGTTGCACATATCAACATTTTTGTAATAAAGAATATGCCTGTCGATGGCACTCTTCTAAGAACACTACATGTGAGTTAGCGTGCTGTGAAGCCGATCTTTGTAACAGTGCCAACAATTTTGTGCCATTATCAGAATCTAAAACCTACAAGCCATCTGGTAAGTATCTATAAGTACGCCATATCACCCGAATACAGTTGCACCAAAGGTCAATATTACATTAGTTCCAGCGAATAAATCTCTTATCAGCTGTGAATAAAACCCATACGAAAATAGGATGTCCAAATTCGTTGACCCGGATAACTTTTTCCATTCATCCTTGGTATAACAGGGTTCTAAAGAACAAGTTTAATTTACAATTCTTCTTTACATGTAATACTTCTTTGACTTTAGGTGCTGACCTTTCTTGCTTCTCCTGTTCTGACTTACCTGTTAAGAATGGCTCAGTGTTTTTTGCACCAAACTCGTGCTCACGACCGGTTTTCATCAAAAAATGCAGTCCACACGTGCCGCGCTACCTAAAAACAAGCAAACAGGATCGCTGTCTAACAGTGAAGGTACAAGTCAAAGAAAAAACTGGTGAAATAAAAGATATGTTCTACCGTAACTGCAGCGACGCAGTATATTGCGCCTACAGCAATGCATTGTGGGCTTATGCATTAAACCAATCAATAGGCACAGTGGTTAGTGCCCAGGCCTCGTGCTGTTCTGGAAATGCTTGTGAACCTGGAACGAGTACTGCGTTACTATGGAAACCCTGCTTGATTCATCTCTTTGTTGTAGTGCTTACAACAAGACTGATCTGGAGCCATTTGTAACTTCGTTTTGCACTTCTTAAGTCTTTATANATGGGAGCGTATTTCAGTTGGAAACCATTTATCTTCTTATCGAAATATCCTCTGTCTTTAATTTGTCTATAATCATTAATTTGTCTATAACGCACATAGGTGAATACTCGACATCCTTGGCTTCCAGGAAAGACTCACGGGCATTCAGCCGTAAACACCAGACGAATACTGTCGAAACTTAACGACATACACATCTTCTTATCGAATATACCTGCGCTATTTTTGGTATTGACATTCCTTTTTTTTTTTGGTGAAAACTATGATTTAATGTCCCTGATTGTGAATTTTCTTGGTCCTCTTTGCTTTTCGATGTGTTTTTCATCTTCCCCAGCAAGGCTGGGAAATAACGACCATGCGATGAAATTAGCCAAATCGCTAACTCGACTTACTTAAACCTCAAAATTAGGTAAATAACATCGCGCCAAGATCTTGAAAAGTCATCAAATTAATAACAGTCACTTTATTTACTAATGAAATTCAAAATCACAGCTCAAAGCAGTAAAAAAGAAATCGGTCCCGAAGTTCAAAAGTTTGTTTTCATCATACCATGTCCCCTCGGCATCTCAGGTATGCAAACTAAGGGACTGTGGGGTAAAACCAGATTTCTTAAGCAGAAAATTAGTTAGAACCCCCTCCGAAGCACAAGAAAATAACGTCTAGCCCCCCATGCAGCTCGGCCTTTTTTTGTAAATTTGCCACACTTTGAAATTCAGGTGAAACACTCAAGTGCCACTATACATGCGCGAACAAAGAATTCTGCCGCGACCAAAATAAGACAACGTGTGAGGGTAGTTTCGACGACATGCCACCTTATGAACGATGTTATACATACAGGTACGTAGACCTTCTTCACATTCATTGCGTCATCTTGGAGCCGAGCCCTCTGTAGAACCATTGTAGGTCTAACAAAACAACTGTAAGATCGATGAAGAGTTTCAAACATTGTTGGGCTGCCTGTGCTTATTACCATTAGGACAAGTTGTTGGATGAAGTTTGAAGGCGTTTGTTTACTTTGTTTGATGTTGGATGTTGCTGTAATGAGCTTCAATGACATGTTATTTGTAAGAAGACGCCTTTTGGACTTCTTTGGGTGTTTAATTTAACAAGATCTCGGTGATCAAACATCTCTCTTTGTACTGTTAAAGCTTATCTATTTCACATTTACCGGTCGATTTCTTAAGGTTTGTTGAAACTGTGTTTTCAACACGTTATCATTTTATTTTTTAGAGAGACTTCCAATGTGAATGGTAAGAAAGTCGTCGTAAAGGAACACCGTGATTGCACATATCAATATATTTGTAATAAAGAATTTGCCTGTCGACGGCACTCTTCTAAGAACACTACATGTGAGGTAGCGTGCTGTGAAGGCGATCTTTGTAACAGTGCCAACAATTTTGTGCCATTATCAGAATCTAAAACCTACAAGCCATCTGGTAAGTATCTATAAGTACGCTGTATCAGCCGAATACAGTTGCACCAAAGGTCAATATTACATTACATATAGAAATGAAAGAAAGTTATAGTGCTTAGAAGGAGGCAATTCCGGGAGAAAGACCCTTAGGAATAAATTCGGAAAAAGTAATTTCCGACCTCGCAGGGATTCGAACCCACGACCTTCGGGTTTGTACTACCGATGCTCTACCAGCTGAGCTACAAGGCCAGACTGGGAGCAGGTCGGGGTGAAATAGATGTTGGGGTTGCGGTAATAGAATAACTAAGGATCTTTCTCCCGGAATTGACTCCTTCTAAGCACTATAACTTTCTTTCATTTCTATATCTGTTCTATCATAGAGTCATGCGGTCCTCATATTCATATCTTTACAATATTGCATTAGTTCCAGAGAATGAATCCCTCATCAGCTGTGAATAAAACCCATACGAAAATAGGATGTCCAAATTCGTTGATCCGGGTAACTTTTTCCATTCATCCTTGGTATAACAGGGTCCTAAAGAACAAGTTTAATTTACAATTCTTCTTTACATGTAATACTTCTTTGACTTTAGGTGCTGAYCTTTCTTGCTTCTCCTGTTCTGACTTACCTGTTAAGAATGGCTCAGTGTTTTTTGCACCAAACTCGTGCTCACGACCGGTTTTCATCAAAAAATGCAGTCCACAYGTGCCGCGCTACCTAAAAACAAGCAAACAGGATCGCTGTCTAACAGTGAAGGTACAAGTCAAAGAAAAAACTGGTGAAATAAAAGATATGTTCTACCGTAACTGCAGYGACGCAGTATATTGCGSCTACAGCAATGCAKTGTGGGCTTATGYRTTAAACSWATCAATAGSCACAGTGGTTAGTGCCCAGGCCTCGTGCTGTTCTGGAAATGCTTGTGAACCTGGAACGAGTACTGCGTTACTATGGAAACCCTGCTTGATTCATCTCTTTGTTGTAGTGCTTACAACAAGACTGATCTGGAGCCATTTGTAACTTCKTTTTGCACTTCTTAAGTCTTTATATTGTGAGTTTTTTGAGCTAATGTAAAGTGAATAAAATTTGTTTTATAAGTGGATTAATGTGCAATATTTGTTGCTGTCGTGGAAGATGTTAATAATAGAATACCAAACACATGAAAAAGGATTGAAGCGAAAGAAAATGAATAGAAGAATAATTGCTGCCAACAAAAGCATAAAATCACAGGGAAATCACAATAATTCTCGTTGTTATTTGTATTTTAATAGAGAAATTTCAAAGACGAAGGTAAAAAGGTTGCCCTTTTGACTGAAGTGAACTGTACAAAGGAMGTTTAAAAGAAAATCAATCGTACGAATTTTAAAATGTTCGGGCTCCCTCTCTCTACGTATTRTTCCTAATTATGGGTGACCTGAATTTCTATTATCAATTTCATTTTGCTCCCCCCTTCCCCCAAGGTCCCAAGCCCCTCCCAGTGACACTGTTACGTATTTACGTGGTACATAGAGTAAAGACAGTAAACACACTGTAACTACGACGATTCATTCAACTCGGAACACTTTTAAACTCCCCGCGACAATGATCAAATTCCTCGTTTTAGCTGCCTGTATTCTTGCGCTGATGATAATGCATGGTAAGTGAGAGAGTTTTTAGTTAGATAGAAAAGTATATGCTCTGCGCCTTAAGACAGCTTGCCTCTTTTACCGAGTAGCCAAGCCAGACTGAGGTCGCAATGGTGGGGTTAACCCGCGGTCTCCCTTACAAACTGAAACGATTTGCCATGCAGGCTTCGAAATTGTTTTTCAACCGGTATGAATGGAAAACGCTTCCCGTAACAAACACGCAGGTGAACGCCATTTGCATCATGTTTGATTTTACGTCTTTTTTAATATTTTAAAAAGAGCAGCAATTTCATGGCGATATTACGGTAAAATCGCAGTAAAAAGACCCTGGGCTTTCATCAGACAACTGTTACGTAATTACGAGGCCTTTCTTAGCAAAAGTATTCGATAAAAGCCATTAGCGCATTGCACAGAGTTTCTCTCCGCTTAAATTCGTTTAACCATGACTCCTTTTTGAAATTCAGGCCAAGCCCTGAAGTGCTATCGTTGTATCGGGTCGTGTCAGATAAAAAATAAGTGTCAAGTTCCTGAAGCAGCACTASGAAGGGGACAGCCGCCGTTCGACCGATGCATACTCACCAGGTCAGCTATAAAGAAGATGTTATGCATAGATGTACAACTATAGTCTATATGGGATTATCCCTAGCGCAGGTTAATTCTGCCACGATTKTGCAAAACTCGCATCTTATTGGCTCATTCTTTCCATTATAATATAAGTTCCGTCCTTTCCATATCCACACACATATATGGAACGGTCTAGTATACATATATTCTCGTGTTTTTCTCATGCATGTGGTATCTGCAATCTAGAGTGACTTCAAAGACTGGCGAAAAAACAGAGGTTCGCGAATGCGGTTATGCGTATCAATGCAACAAAGCATCTCTATGTCGAAWTGCTGACAAGGACTCGAAATGCGAGGCAGGGTGTTGTAAGGGTGATTATTGTAATGGCGACAGCTTTGTTCCATCCCTACCAGACCATAAGAACTTGAAGCCTTCTGGTAAGCTAATTTGGCGAGGGAGGAATTTGCATTGAAAGCGCTCCAATAATTGTGATGATTATAAGGCTCAARACTAGGGAGATAGTCCAGAGAAAGCCTGTTTTTACATAGATATCCCAATACTCAATCTATTCTTATAGGCTAACTCATTACTTTGTGCCAAACGCATGAAAAGTGTGAATTATATGGCTGAAATGGCAAGTTTCAATCTTGAAATTAACCATTAAATTATGCAGCTTCATAAGCTAGGTGGGTTATAGTTGTCCGTTTCGTTGACAAATTAAAAACTGTGCAAATAAAAAACAAATTAGATAACATGGCATCAATGCTCTCAACACCTGCCCGATCTAAAAGTACATAAAATGGGGCTTTCGGTTCACTAGGACCCTGTGGGGCGTCTCAATAGGCAGGGGGGCGTCTCAATAGGCAGGGGGGGGGCGTCTCAATAGGCAGGGGGGCGTCTCAATAGGTAGGGGGGAGGGGATGGGGGATGCAAGTGTGTGTTCGGCTGAGGTGATATAGTGTTAAAGATTTTCTTTTTCTTTTATTCACTCTTTCTCTTCGTTACAAATATGACAGCTTGAGCTTCAAGTTCCTTAATTACTAGCTTTTGCAGTGTTAATTTTAGTCGTAATTTATTTCTCTGTGAATAATCTTTTCTTTCTGTCCTCAGGTTCTGATCTTTCTTGCTATTCATGTTCTGATGCACCCACCTCGATGTTCAATGAGAAAATATCCTGCTCAAACTCATCGAAACACTATGCAAAGTGCAGCTCACGCTCCTCGTCCCAATCAAAAGAGATTAAACAGGATCGCTGTCTAACACTCAAGCTAAAAGTAATGAACCAAACTGGCAGCATCAAAGATATTCTGATACAAAGCTGCAGCGATGTGTTGCTATGCGGTTTCAGCGATGCATTGTGGAAGTATAACATGAAAAAATCAGTGGGTACAGTGGTTAGTGCCCATGCCTCTTGCTGCTCTGGAAATCTTTGCGAGACCATTAGTGCGTCAACACCGAAAACCTGTTTGGCCAGTTTGCTATTAGCTGTAGTCATGGTGACACTCTTCATTTTGATTGCTTGAATCAGTATCTTCGTCGTAGACAATTGGAAAGTGTAGAATTGTACTTAAGCTTAGATCGAAAATTTTCACTTAAAACCATTGTCAATAGAGGGTTTGTCTTTAGGTTCTATCCTTGCTTATTGCTATTATTGCWCGGATCAATACCATTCAAGAACAATCCAATTCCAACATGCTCAAACTCACTTAACATTCTAGAAAATGCAGCTCAGAAATTCTGTATGACACAAAAAGGGCTAATACAGGACCTCTGATGACTCTTAAGCTACTTGTCAAGGAGGAGCTTGGCGGCATAAAAGAAATAGTTCGAGTTTTTCGCCTATAATTTTACATATATCGTTCAAAACTTACGTATCCAGATTGTACAACTTCCTCCTAATAATATCCCGTAAAAACSGCGTAAAAAACTTCCATATCCACTGAAAAATCGAGCGATAAACATGAAAATACGAATTTCCGCCATACAAACTCTTGTAGATCACGCTTTGTTTGCCCCTTGGCAATCCATGCATGCATTGCGTTTGGTGAGGGATCAAATTACTGGAAACTCATCCATTGCAGTGACGCCATTTATTGTGGCTACAGCAATGCTTTCTGGGAACATTCCATCAACCAATTAATACGCACAGTGTTAGTGACCATGCCTCTTGCTGTTCTGGAAATCTCCTTGGCAGTGGGGCTATTATAATAGTAATCCGCCAAAAACCTATTTGACAATTTTTTTTAGTATCGATGGTCTTACATTCATTTCTCTAGATGTGCTCTTGCAGTCAACAGTCATATTCAGTATAACTTGAATGAATTGAAAAACGCCGTTGGTTAATGACAAATGACCTCCTTAGTAGACCCCCCTTGGTAAARACATTTATTATGAGCGTATGGTTGTAAAGCCATTGCGTATTTTTACTTTTTCCTCGAAAATACAAAACTCTGGAGTACTCTATCCCTCTATGAATTTATCTAAAAGGGCTTCAATTTTTACTTTGTTTGATTTTTTGCTCCTTGTGCTTTACGAATTCATCTGGCTGGACTCCCTGTGTTATATCATTGTTCCTCTTAGAGGGTGGGCTGAATTCTCATTTATACCAATCCGTGTTGGCCCTCCGACTTCATACCCTTCCCCGTGACCCCCCTGGTGATTCAATGCGCTCAAAGAGTTGATATAGTTACGACGCTTTACAAYTCGGMACACTTTAATACACAATGATAAAATCGCTGRTATTCTGCGTTCTTTCGTTGGTTATAACACGTGGTAAGTAAAAGATCKTCTTGTCAATGAATATAAGTTTTCTCCSCWATTTTAAAATGTACATGTACCAGCGCCTTTTTCCGAACAAAGACGAAAAGAACTTGAAATCGTTAGATTACCTCGCCGCATATTACAATAGACCGTTGTTTTATATGCCTTCTGTATTATTTTTATTCTCTTAAGAACGGGGAATAATATCAAAACGGCACGTAAACGCACGTTGAGTGTCCTCTTAAGTTAACTTTGTAGAAAAAGTAAATATGGAAAAAAATACATTCAAGATAGCACGATGTGCCAGGTCGATACGTTTGGCTACTGTGAGTATTACACTAAGAYGTAAGATATGTCATACACTTRAATCAAACCAAGAGACCATTGAGCATGACTGCAGTTTCTGCCGTGCATCGGGCAAAACCAGCCCGAAAAGCCCGAGATAATGGCAGTGTTGGCGGTTTAACAGCTAGTTTTTCTCCGCTTAAAATCGTCTTAAGAGCGCTCTTTAAAATGCAGGTCAAGCCCTCAAGTGCAATGTCTGTCAAGGGTCGTGCAATAACGTAACAACATGCGATAGCAGAAAAATTGTGGCCAAGGGACAGCCGCCATACGATCGATGCMTTATCCGCAGGTACAAAACATAATACATTGTGCAAGTCAGATATAATTACAAACACTTGTTGTATGGTCTTTAAGGCCCAGTCCGGGACACAATATCGGCCAAAATCGCAGTAAATTGCCTTAAATTTAGATGGTTTTTGGTGATTTTTGCTTAAATCGCCTAAAACCGCTTACAATCGCCCAAAATTACGGCGATTTTAGGTCTCGGACTAGACCTTCTTTAGTTCATTCTGCCCCCATTAAACTACCGCCACTGTGTTTTGAAGAGGGTATTTTTCTCCATTTAAGGTGCCAACTCCCTAAACCTCCCCCTAACATTTCATTCATATTTTAAATCGAGCACTTCATGAATTCGCAAGCTATGTTTTCAATAACCAAGTTATATGCAATTTAATAGAGAGACTTCAAAGGATGGTAAAAAAATAGAGACTCGTCATTGTGCATATGCCTATCAATGCAATGTAGAATTGCGATGCAGTYACGTTCCAAAGAACTCTACATGCGAGGTAGGGTGTTGTGACAGTGATCTATGTAACAGTGACAGCTTGGTTACATCGTCAGAACCCACGAAAACCTTCGAGCCATCCGGTAAGTATCTTACTTGGAGAGGGAGGAATGTGGATCTTGACTAGGAATACAGTCGAAAGAAAGTCTCGGAAACCCTCGATACTCGATCTGTATAATAAGCGCATCTCATRACATTGATAATGCCTGAAAAATTCAAACGAAATTCCTGAAATATGTTTACGAAAGTTCTTATTCTGATGAAATGCCTAATAAAATTATGCAGTTGTGAAGGATTTTATAGTTACGGGTATGATATTTACCGGAMAATACAAGTTGACAGACTTAAGTACCCTGCAAACACACAACATATTAGGGGTATATAGAATGGTGTCTCAGAAATCGCTAGGCTCGTCAAAAATTGCCCAAGGCTCGGCGTCTAAAAGAAAGGGGCTCGGATTTAAAATTGCTTTTGGCTCGGAAGCTCGCAATTGCCGAAATATCGGACTCGTTCAGCCAAAGACTCGGGCTCGAATTTTAAAACGAGGGGCTCGCAGGCTAGGCGAGGCTCGGATTTTACCATTCGATACCCCTCATATTTGATAGCGTGATGCTGATAGCGTGATGGTAACCTCTACTGATCACAGACAGTCCCTATCGGACCTTATATTACACTTAGGTGTTTGTTTACAAGAGCAGATCCAGGGGATTAGGGTGGTAAGCCACCACTTCCCCCCTCCCATCCCCATCCCCATCCCCATCCCCATCCCCATCGCCATCCCCATCCCCATCCCCATCGCCATCCCCATCGCCATCCCCATCCCTATCCCCATCCCCATCCNTCTCCGACCATTAAAATACAGAGGTAAAAACAAATATGACACATGATCCCCATTGAGTCTGACTGTCATTGAGTCTAGTAACTTTGAGATTTATAAATAATCGTTTTCTGTCTTTAGGTTCTGACCTTTCTTGCTATTCGTGTTCGGACATTCCTGTCAATGATCAATCGCTTTTCAAAGARACAACGCCATGCTCACAGTCGCCCAAACACTCGAGAAAATGCAGTYYGAACTCTTTTGCCGACATAAAGTTGAAACAAGATCGCTGTTTAACGCTCAAATTACAAGTCAAAGAAAAATCCGGCGAGTTAAAAGAAATGCTCGTACGTAATTGCAGTGACGCAGTAATGTGTGCCCACAGCAATGCATTGTGGGTTTATGCAATGAACGAAGTCCCAATGGCAGCTCMCAATCAATCAATAGGCACAGTRGTTAGTGCCCAGTCCTCCTGCTGTTCTGGAAATCTTTGTGAAAGCAATACTTCATCACCGACAACCAGTTTGAGTAGTTTGTTAGCTTTTATCGTTGTCATACTTGTAAGCTTGTTTGCTTGATCCACATCATAGTCACAATCGTARTGAGGAGTTGTGAGGAGTGATGTGTGCTAAAATACTTAATGTAGAGGTAGTGAGTGTGAGAGTACAGGGTCCGCAGTAATTGGCTCAYGCTGTTGCGGTGTCCCTGCCCATACTAGGGGCAAAGCTAATAAATAAAAAAAAAAATTAAGTAAGGTCATCGTTAGGTTGTAATTATATAATCCAATACCAACCTTTCTGTTATAACAGTGTATTATTCCAAACAATAAACAAAACATTTGATGGGCTTAGTGTCTACGATTACATGTAACTTAGTAACTTATTCAAAGTATAAAGAAGTATTCAAGACGCAATATCATTTCTCTATGGGGCACGAGTAAGACGCTAAGAGCGTCTAGTTCAAAACAAAATGTTTTAACAAAATTTTTTCTATTCGCTTGCGATAATGAGACTCGCACACAGTTCTCGATACCAGTCTTTTTATTATGCTTAAAACAGCAAGAGAAGAGACTGGGCATGAGTTTGCGCCAATATGACGTTATGTCAAGTGTGAATCAAGGGCGCCAGGACAACCATAACAGTTTTCGAATGATTACGATTGTATTTGTTATAGCTTTGAGAATCTTAGAAATTCACTTATCTGACTTCTTGTGTATATCTTGAGTATATCCTGAACTCCCTTGGCGATTGGTCTGTAATTTTTCACTTCAAAAGGTCAACATTTGTACGTGTTTGCTTCAGTACGCCACGTTAATTTAACGGCCGTTTACTACGTACTTATACCAGGCTGTACCGTCCGCTTATGCAACCGCGCGATTTAATCTACGTCACGAATTTACCTTAAGTTCACTAAAATACCCCATGGTTGTCCTGGCGCCCTTGTGTGAATGATACTGGAGAAATAAGGGTTCTCAGTTGCAATAGATTCCTTACGTCACCTACTTGATTTGCAGTGCATTGTGGGATCAGTTTCTGGAGAAAACAAAAGAAATCCGCCATGTTCTTTCTCAAACATATCCTACAATGCATTGCGTACACGGTACATGACGCAAAAGCTTTAGAGGTTTATCATAGCGTAAATATAGTAATGGATAAAACGACCACAGTAGTGATTCCTAAAACGACCAAAAGTCTAAAACGACCAGTAGTTATTCCTAAAACGACCAGTAGACAAAGTTTTATGTTTTTATTTTTCATTAAATAGTGAAGTCACTTGGGATCGGCCTGGTATCTCAAATATCAATACATGCAACAGTTTTTAGATAGAGCCCTGATGATATATTAATAATTCTAATAGCGTCTAATAATATCTAATAATATCTCATCAAATTATGGTTGATAGTATTTTCAATAAACTGAATGCGACAACCAGAACTCTGATACGAATAAAATATATCTGTATATATGACGCTAAACTCAAAGCTACAGCTCATTGCAAGAGGATTGACACGCAAAAATAGATACGATTGAAAAACACCGCAYAACACCGAATAAAAATAACATTTTTGAGTAAAATAATACCTGGTTGAATACAAAATAACTGTTTTTACCTCAAACCTAATGAATAATTTCAAAGATCTTCTCTTCTCTTCAAGAGACGAACGATTTTGTTWGCTACGTTTGGAAAGTACATAGAATGCATTTCCAACCAACGGYACCAAGACCATGTAAACCCATWTTTCGGGTATTTTATCAGTATTTATTTCTCTTAATGCCGTAAAAAYGTATTCAGAAGGAAAACAATTGTAACCTCTAGTGCCTAGAGCTATGTGTTCMCAAACTATTCTAGTGGATTCTYAAGTGACAACATTCTTACAAAAAGCTGTATATATAGCGGCACACTAACGCAGAACTCAAAACACAAAATCGTTCATCTCCTGGAAGAGATGAGCAAATCCTACCAAATTATTCCAAAAATAACCAAAAACACATCAACATCAAGGATTTTWGCTGTTCAGTTTCATGAAGGAGTTAGAAAGGAGTATTAATAATATCGATATTACATTGCAAATTGACGATGTAGTAGCAGAATTCAAAATGTTCTCCAAATGACAAGAAATGTTGGAATTTACGATAGCTTTGTAGAATTTTTAAGCTGCTAGAGCGTATTTACATATTTTATACAAATTTAAATTATAATAAAAATTACTTATTATTACGTAACATTTTAGAAGAGTTACGGTGATTGGTTGTAATAAAACAATAGCCATTSTCAAATGCSAAAGAATTGACCGATAGTTTTTGAGAGTCTAAAAGGTTTTACGATGTACAATCGTTGAAAACAAACGCCTTGAATTCAAATTTATAAAACTCTGATAAAAATCCGCGACAAAATCATCACACGACTTTCAATACTTCAATTTTATAAAACCATGGTTKTCCTCGCACAATACCGCCAAACATCAACTGGAGTGCTCATATTCCTTTGAATTTTGCCTTCTTGAAACTGTCTCAAAGTGCAATTTCTTGCAAAAGAGATTGCGGCAAAAAATGCGTTTCAAATACCTTAAGAATTCCAGTCATTTTGTCGGAGTTCCGTACTTCTGTAATCAGCCAATAACAAGCAAGTATATTTTCTCCTATCGAAGAACCATCGATATCCACAATGGACAATGGCGAAAAATCTTGCACCCTATTTCACACGACGTCACAAAAACACACGCAAATTTGAAATAAAAATCTTCGATATCAYACACACACACAGGTCGTCTCCATACTAGTTAAATAAGCCGTCAAATTATTGAAAGAATAAAATGATATGTTATACCTTGAATTTTCTAATTTAGACCAGCAAAGCGCTTTATTTTAGATAGTTCTGGTTTATATTTTTGTATACGAGTTTGAGCCAAATTCTCAACGGACACACCTCACATCCTATGTTGCATACAGCGCAAATTCTTCAGAAGCTGGAACTTTAAAAAGTCAGTTCCGGAGTACATAGTTCATAGGATGCCTAAACACCGTACATGGACAGCCAATAACGGTGAATTACATGTCTCTTAATTCCGTAGACAGTTCTTTTCTACTCAGAACTTTGTAAAAAAGGAGACATTTTCATATATATTAGTATTATATATATATATGTATTAATGTTGAAAAAGTAAAAATATGTCTGCCATCATGATGAGATTCAAATCTCAATATAGATACGGCTACGATAATATATTATCATCACTAATATATATTAATGTTCATTAATTGARTTCAAAAAGCATGCAAATTGCATACACGAGATCGAGGTAGTCACGTGCACTGCACGTGATTGCTTGCTGGATTAGCGCCCAGACTTCTTTAGCACGTTATACTGTTGAAAATATTTTTCGCACAAATAAGTTGTTCTTGAATGTCAAATTTACAAATTTTATCAGCAAMCTTTTCGATGGTTTCTTGGACRTCTTTSGAACGATACAACCGAAAACAYGTCGTCTCGGATTTATATTTTGATCAATAGTTTCAACTTGTATTTAGTCAACTTCACAGTTGTATTTGAATCATTTCTAGCGACACGATCGTCCAGATATTCCATCAATAGTCGATAGYTCGAATAAACACTTACGGCTCAAATCGCCATTTTCATTTCCCATTTTGTTACCATTTTTTCATTCTCATTTTTCCATTTCCAACYTTTCACTGCTGTTTCCTTTTAATCGTTTCATTATCAMTTCCATGGCATCCCTTGGAGTGAAGCAGCTTGGAGCGTTTTTCGTCGAGTCGAATATACTCCTAGTACGCCCTTTGAATGGCACGGGGAAGCGCAACGGACCCGTCTTGTGTCTAACCTTTATCTACGAAAGGTTTCTCCATTCATTATACATTCCAATAAATAGTCAAATAGATTCCTAACTCGGCAGTAAAATTCGAATATTGTTTCTTGTTTTAGGATGAATTAAAAACAGCTGTATAGACAACAYCAAAGAACAACCGAACGTCAAATTGCCGTGTGAGAATTTGATCGGTCATTGCAGTTCTCATATCGTCGACTTCCTGGCGGGTCATGAATGTTATTCGGCACAGTGACGGTCTCGAAATCTGGCATGGTAACAACTGCGGAGGTTGTCACATTATTGGGTTGCCTTTTGTCGTTGTTATTAGTCTTATTCGAATTTAAAAACGGCTTGGTACGRACATCGTTCATTTCAGAGTGTTCACCGCCAACTGAGTTTTCATGTTTGTGGCTTGGTTCGGAAAGAGATCGCGTACGTTTCAGGCACTTCCCGTTGTAACTGTTCCTATTATAACACGCATCTTCGCACACCGCAGCTAGAGATAATGACGAAGCTAATGGCGAACCGGAAGGCGTACAAATCGGTGAGTTTGGTTTGGGTGGACGCCGGGAAACTGGTTCCCCTTTGAATGTATACTCCATCTCGACAAACTGACGTGCCTATGAAAGGAATTAATATTATTTATAATTCATGATTACATATATTGCTCTGACTGATCTAAATACAGCCATCTTATTCAAGGTTCGTCCGAGAAATACTCCTCGGCGGCGGGTAACTTTGACGAGCGAATGTTTTATAACTCATCCGCCATCTTGCCGCTTTTACCATGATGCACTGCGACAAACCTAACATGACGTCATTAGAAAGGTTAACTCTCTCGTTTTTGGCWCCATTAGGGCCTGGCAGCCAATGTAATTCTTGCTCATATTATTTAATTTGTCTTTCTTCGCTTAGGGTTGGTTCAAGTCTAGCTTATTTTCGTTTTTTTTTTTACTTCAATAATGTGATAATTAACTCATTTAGATTTTCATTAGGCAATGTGCAAGCGACGCCATTTTGTGCAACAAAGAATGGTTTTACTTGCTTTTTCTACGCTAAAATAGATATCGTTTTATCGTTTCTACAAAGAAAGCTTTTTAAGGAGACATTTTAACGTCTATTGAAAGTGTGAGTACTACGACTACCATCATGCTTTGCTTAGTGTACAAATTGACGAATGAATGATTAAAGGTTTTCTGAAAACCTCTCTAAAGTAGCTGTATATTTAGGGCGAGTCAACTTACAGTTGCCTTTTCCAAGCAATGCAAAAGATGATTATGTTGTTCTTCTAGATAAGAGGCGTCATTATCTTTGCCTGGTATYTGTGTTARYTCCAAACCAGCTCCCTACGGTGGCAACAGATACAGTCAGATTCACAAAATAGGAAAAGGAGTAATAATTCGTAYTGTTATTGCTTCAGTTTACGTCATGTCAAGGTTAAAGTATGATTGTATTTACCAAAGGAACATTCTTCTTATCGGGTGGAGATACCAACGCTGTCCCTGCCATTGTTTTGGAAATCGAAACTCTTGCTTTCTGGAAAAGAAAAGACAGACTCACATAAGCACTGAAGGAAATGTGACAACTTATCGTTAAATTGGTCAATCGATTTCCTTGCAATCGATAGATCGATTAGCTCATCAAATCAATCATTCAATCAATCAATGTATCCATCAATCCATCAATCCATCCATTTATCCATCGGTCAATTAATCTATCTATCAGTCAATCAACCAATCAATCAACCATCCATCCAACCAATCAATCAAATCAATCAATCAATCATCTAACCGTCATATCAATCAATCAATTAAATACAAACGATGACATCAACACAATACACCAATTTTTCCTTCAACAAGCATTCAAGCATGGCCTACACGACTTACTTTGTGAGCCTTTCGCTTGTCAGCTCGTTGATTTTGTAAGTAAATTCTACTGAAATTGGACACTATGACTGGCACAGGCAGTGCTATTACCAGCACGCCGCTCAACGAACATAAACTACCAACTATTTTTCCTGGTACAGTCGTCGGTACCATGTCTCCGTATCTGGAAAATAATTAACATTATTAATATTTCACAGGAATAAGTCACCATTTTTCAGTWATATGTTTTTTTATTAATTTTCATAAAAAATGTCCATTTCTGAGTAGAAATTTTAATGACAGTAAATTGAGTTGCTATTTTGAGTAGCTATTGTGGTAAGTCACAAGGAAAAAGACGCTGTTTCTGCTTTAACGAACAGTCAACAACAACAAATTATGGTAAACAAATTATGGTAAGCGGAGTATTTGTTTTCGAATATGGGAAAGCAACCGAATAAGAAGAGAGAAGCTTAAGGTAACAAGAACGGAGGCAACATGAGAAGGTGAAAGAAACTAGAGAAGAGAAATGAAAGAAAARGGAAAGAAAAGGAAAATAATAATCAAAGAGAAAAACAGAAAGGAATAAAATGAAACGAAAATTAAATTAKCTCCGTTGACACCTTAAATTGTCGCGGTTCATTTAATCATTGATTCACTCTCTTATAAATAAAAACTGACCAATCAATGCTGGAGGTCAGCTATTACTAAAGATAGCTCATGAATATTACTGCGCTCCGTTGTTAAACACAGATAATCAACAAAAACAAACTTAAAATTCAATTAGAACTAGACAAAACAACATCATCAAAAATATATAAACACAAACATCGAGGATTGAATYATTTTCTTTTTCAATAAATAGTAAGAAACACAATATTTACACAGAGAAATACAAAAAAGGTTGGTAAAAGAAAATTATGACTAAAAGTTCAGAAATATAGAATTTATCGGCATAAAATAGCAACAAATACAAAAGATTTCATTAAAATTTCAAGACGAGAAATTTAAATAAAGATTTTTTTTTAATGATAACAAGAACAAAAAAAAATGATATAGAAATGATGTCGAGTTCATGTGAAAACCACTTACGATATACGAAATCGAGCGGAAATAAAACAAATTGAACGAAATAAACAAAAATCAACGGAACATCAAATCAYGATTACATTTTACGAAAGCAAAAATCCTAGAATGAAAATTAGTGGTTTATAAACGTCACCAAAATTAAAGAAATTAATGTTCACAACTAAGGTTTTTAGTTATCAAAAAACATCAAAACCACAACGAAAAYGCGGACGACGATAAAAGGAGATGCTTCAAATGATGTCTAGTAGATGACAAACTAATTTTCACTTTTATCTATCACCTGTATCATATTTACTTTTCATATTATTAAATACTTAAGTCGAAATCTTTCTAAATCTGTTCTTGAAATMTCAAATCTTGTAACATTTGCCAAAATTGCGCGCAATTTCGGAGATAAAACGCGCAATTTCCCACATTGAAATTTTTCGAAAATTTAGAAACAAAAACATGAAGTTTGATTCTAATGTAATTTTATTTTTTATAACAACTTGTTCGATAACGAAGCCAAAATCAAGGTTCAACAGGTTTAATATCATAAAGAATTAAAWATAATTTCACTAAGGAAGTTATTCTCTCTAGGACTTCCTTAGTTGGTTAAAAAAAAAAAACATTCAAACTTTTATTCATTTGTGCCCACGCAAGAAATTCCTCTCACGTCTTTAAACATCTACAAATACAGTGTGCAAACTTTGGGACGGCAAATGGGTACTATTTTGAGCGTTTTTAAGTAGCATCGAAGCAAAAACACTCAAATACTCGTGTCAAGTATACAATAGTTTAAATAATCTATAAATAACATTTTACAATGCATCTAAATTTGAACAGAAGCTTAATATAAATACATCGGCTTCTGAAATAAAATTACAGTCATTTAACACATTATACAATTACGTAGTGTTTTTTTCCCTTATAAATATGCCATTTTGCACCTCATTACAATCGGARAACCAATTATTGAACTTGTGGTTTATTCGCTCTTAATTAAGGATCAATAGTCCAGTTGGCATTATACTACAAACGATATCAAACATGAGTATGTTTTGGAGATTACAGACCCCGACGATGATTAGAATTGAACTATTACGATCTTGGATAAAAGCTGTTAAGAAATAGAGGGAAATGACTTGAACAGAACTGAATAAATGSGATTTTTTTCATTCATTTTTGTTCGTAAACGATATACAAATATTACGTCATGAAGGAGTTCGAGACCCAATAAAATGACATAAAGTAGGCTAACACTCTTGGGACYTTCCTTTCAGAGAAACAGGAAATGGTTTTATTAATTGGAAAAGAAATGGGATTTTTTTCATTTCATTTTGAAAATAGAAAAATGAAACGAAGGGGATGRGCCTATGCAACTAAATTCTCACTATTTCTATTATTCATCGCTAACAAGGCCTAAACRAATACAATTCTATGACATATGTCATATAGATTTCGTAGTAAAAGTTTTATCACTAAAATAACAAATATGTTGTACACAAACTGAAAACTAGTTTTTTTCCAACATCATTTCGTTGCACCAATCAAAGACTTTAGTTTTATAGGAATTCGAACCGAAAACAACGTTTCTTGTAAGTAATTTTAGGTAATGGCAATCCGACCACCCTCAAGTATACAAACACCTGCACATCATGAGGAGCAAAGGAGATTTGAATAACAAAAGCAATAAAGATTGTTTCACCTTACTAATTTCGAATTATGTTCACCAAATAAGTACAATAGAAAAAAATCTAACAGTGATATCAAATTATGCAATTGAAAATTGAATTATTAAGCGTATAAAATCATGTCAAAACCGGAAAATACAAAGAGAAATTGGATTATGTTATATTTAAATAAATAATTACATTCTTTTTCAAAAACGAAAATCAACGACAAGAACAATGAGRCAAATTTATACAATAGAATTTAGTTCATATTAAGATGCTTTTACGAGAAAAAAAAGGAAAAATATTGACGTTTTTCTAACTCATAAATAGCTTTTGATAACTGGTAAAACCATTTTCATAATAGAATAGTAGAATACAATCTTTCCAAACCAATTTTCGTAAAGGAAATATTAGAGTAATCTATTAAAAACATATGCAAAATGAATATTAAGCTGAAATCATGAATTTGTTCAATAAAACGCAATTTCCTGAGCTTCACAAAGTTTAATAAGAAAATGACAATTTTAATATTGCTTTTAAAGCTTTGGAGGTCTCAGCATTCCGGATGAAAGAAGAATTAAGTTTTATTAATTTGAAATGGTAGAGAAATCTTAATGTGTTGTACCATCGGACATTTAATTAATGTAAACAGTTTGGGAATTGTTTTTGGAAWACAAAATAGCTTATAGCATAAAAATATCTGTATTCTAGATATCTTTGAGACGAAAATTCTGGTTTTGATAGATTAGAACAACTATTAAAGGTTTATCACAATGTCTTTGATCAAAAACGATAAACAAATCGCAATTATTAGGTATTTACTACGTTCCTACACCAAAACCGAACTTATAGTGCCGTTTTTGAACCAAGGATTAAATGAAGAAGCTCTACTTCTTTTCTAAACATAATCTAGTTTTATTCCTGTGACAATAGGAAGAAATATCGATAGATAATCTGCTCGATGCGTTTGAACCGCAGACGGATTTGATACATAATTTGTGTCCCAGTACAAGCACCTAMAGCCCAACCACCRGGGRTTTRCTAATGCCTGGATCATGCTTTAAACGATGCAGTATCTTTCAATGAGAGGAGAAAACTAGAGCTTTGTGAACCGGACGCGTAATATAAATATTAATAAAATGTTCCTGTGAGAGAAGAGAATTTTCTCAAATAACGAAAATATAATAATAGTGGTTTGAAATATTGATCGAGTGATAAGCTTTAKATTTTTAACAGAAAACACTGGAAACATCGCACGAGTCTACATGCATGGAAACAAAATTAGGAAAATGAGATATGTGAATTTCATTTATGTTTTATTGCGAGTAAAAGGAGTTGATTCAAAGGCAGAAGGAAAATATTGATAAAAGACAGAGCTTCAAATATTTATAAGTTCAGACTCACATTAAATTGAGGTGTGATATCATGACAAAAATAAAACAAATGTCTATAATTAAAAATACGCAAATCTCATTCTAAGCTCGTGGAGAATTCAGAGGAATACCTAACTTTCTCCAATAATACAATRATTTTTGTAACACTGTTGATATATATTATATATTGTCATATATAGTATATAAATKTTAACTGGCCTGAAAATTATATTTAGTTGGAAAACTTAAAACCATTSATATTTTCGAATCAGAAAAGTAAATTCTCGTTAATGAGGAAGCCAATCAAATGTCAAACAAAGCCATTCAMTTGCTAGAACCCATTTGAATGCTAAGATTTTTTCAAGTTTGACAATCATGAAGTTCTTATAATTATACAGTTTTCGAATCCGATGCAGGGAAATTAATGGTTCGACTTAAGTAATTTTTATTCATTTTTTAACTTCGATCATTTTTAGAGTAATTTAGTTAAACGAAAAAAATTGTCTATTAAAAATCTCCACTTGAAAAGTCTCCGGTGTTTGCTGTGGTTAAACTAAATAATGTGGAGGAAAATCTGAAGGATTTCAATAGTAAGCCGCAAGCTAAACGATCAAAAACAAAACAAAATCTAGACAGTCAAATTTATTTCTCTTTTGCCGCGATCAAACGTTCGAAAACTCAAATCGCATAAAATCATCACTTTCCACTAATAAAAAATGTATTTTTCTTCACTTTCTGGCGAAAAACCTGAGAAAATTAAATACTCGCCTCTCATTATTCAATTATGGTGGACTAAATCTCTAGACCGCAAAAAATACCGATACTCGTGATGGAAAAAACCTTAAAATACCAACTTTCTGGCGTCACTGTTGTCGTTTACTCTAATGGTTCAAACTGCGATGGTTTAGTAACAATGTAGGCGGTCATCAATGCAGATTACTGATGACTAAGATCAAATACGGTAAAAATCCACARCTACATCGATATTGTGACAGGATCTAGTTTAAATGAACATGAATAATTGAACAGATACACAGAGCTGGAAATGAGTTGAGCCAATCAGAGAATGTGTATATAGTTGACACTTGAATAAAATGTGAAATTTACTTTTTATTCTGTTTTCTTTGTGTTTCACTTTTTGAAGATTAAAAAACCGTGTTTTTTTTTCAAGACCCTTTTAATATGGACTTATGCCATTTGTTTAAAAACTAGTATRTTTCCTTAGTGGTTTGATGCAAAATCGTTTTCCGCTATTACTTTCAAGACAGTRGGGGGAGGTTGTTGCGTCGTCCAGTGAACAATATGTAAATTATATGAACCCGACAATCATAAAAACAATCTCAGCATATCTTAAAAACATGAAGAGCGAGCTGATAGCACACAAAGAGAAGCAAAATATCGATTAGGTTAGATTCTCATTTCAATTGCAAACCGTGATTTACAAATCCTAACATGTAATATACTAATTTCTCTCTTAGAAATGAGGAAAAAACGCGATGTAAAATAATAAAGACATCGAGTACAATATGTATTATTTGTTTCATTGAMAAAAGGTATAAAAAATAATCATGAACAAGTAGTGTAGAARCACKAAAAATATATAGAGGGTCCTGAAATGGGTATACGAATCCCATTTTCTTATTTTCTATTTGCATAAGATCCCATTTCAAAATGACATAATCCCTTAGTTTTGTTTTCCCTCCAATTTCCAGATTCTATTGTTCTCATATTTGTAATTCCAGTCGAAGTGCATTCAATCCCATTTTGTCAGTAAAATACAGCTCTGTTTCAGCCTGTCAGGACTCTGTACATAATATTCTAGACTGTTGTCTTTAAAAAGCATTTACGAACATAGACTAATTGTTGGGCAGAGAAAGCAGTATTTCAAACAGATAGAATGAGCTGATAGAATTAAAGGGATGAAAAAATCAAAGAAAAAAATGAAAATGAAACAAGATGGAAAATTAGAGGTAAAGAGAGATGACAACACAAGGAAATAGAAAGAGAATAAATGGATGTATGAAATGCATGAATGAAAAAATAAAAAACAGAAATAAAGAAAAGGAGAATGTCAAGAGCAAAAGAGAAATTCAGAAAACTGCAAATAGAATGAATACCAGAATTAAAAAGTGAAAAGGACTGAAATAATATAGAAACGGGACAAAAATGAAAAACTAAAAAAAAGCACAATTATACATAACGAGTAGACAAAACATCTTTATACATGAAAAACTTATCACTGAAAACTTAAAACCGAACTATCAATCACTATACGCTGGACTTTTCATTCGAGCAGAAAAATAAACAAACTTTTGACCGTCGAGCTCACTAGGAAAGAAAAACTCAAATTACTATCAGATTCAAATGTCAAAATTGTGGTGAAATATAATATATCGAGATAAGCTAATAGCTCTACCACCAAACTAGAGTTTTATCAAGGAAAGTCAATCGCTAGAAAACATGGTTGATGTGGTCTGCGTTAAAAAAAACATTAAGCTTAATTATTGTGTTATCATCCTACAAGAAAATGCTTTCGTGTCGAGCGAGTTGGATGACTAATAATTCTATGGTCAAGCATTGTTAGCACGCGATCTGGGAGCTAGCACGTTAGCTAAATGACATCATATTTTTAAATGTCTATTTTATACATCTTTTTGATAAATAAAATTTGGAAATTGCAGYTTTAACGAGTAGAGATAAGGAGTGTCATCAAAAATAAAGAGAAAAAAAAAAACAATTCAAAGATCAAACATGATTTTGGTAATGCCAACAACTTTCTTCGAAAATATTCCTAAATTGTGCAACTTAAGTTGTAGTTTTATTAATTCTCCATTCAGGATTGGGATAAAACAACATTATTTTTCTCAGTTKTCATTGCTTTTATGAATAACACTTTGTTTACTAAGTATCCCATTGTGTTTAAAAGTCGAATTGTTTTGCACAACATCATAATCGAGAAATAAAGATTAAATATTAAGCTGGCAAGTCTTATCGCTTACCAATCACTAAAAACGGTGCTTTATATTGACCATTGTGTAGTGTTTCTCTATTTTCTTCKAAAAAAGTAGTCGATGTAGGAAATTTAATGCATAATTAAATTGCTGACTTATCCAAATTCTAWATTGCGCTAAAACTTGTGTTTGTTGATTTTCGCTTAGAAACTTAACTGACAAATTTTGACTGATAATGGTCAAATTTCTCCGTTTTTCTTTGGAAAATCTCTATAATAAAGCGAAGAACATTGTCGATTCTCCCTTTTATCGATGGGAATGTAAACGATTGATAATACAATTTAAAAAGGGCAATCTTCTTTAACAGACCCATTAGATGCTATCAATAATAGACCATTTGAGATGAAGAAACGCCCAAAACATCTTCAGCTTCGAAAGCTTCCTAATCCAAGCAACATATTCAACAACATTAACTTATGAGTTCAATAAGAAAAGTTAATAGCAATTTAGMAAAAAGAATTGTCGGTAATTTGAAATAATTGGAAATTGCACAAAACGTTTTGTTATTTTGGACCTTTGCTCCGATTAAATGTCTTTTTYTTCGAATTTACTCTATAGCTTTATATATCTCGCTTGAATTAAAAACAGTTCTTGTGTAATTAAGATACGAGGAGTCAACAATTAGGGCACTAGCCAACCCGATACATTTACCGTTCTTCATTGGATGGGAGTTTTATTGAAGTGTTTAGCAAAAAGTAGTAAAATTTGCGTACAGTTTTGACAGTTTTGAAGATCTGATATATTTTATCGACCATTTCCTCTTGATTCAATCTAAATAAGGTTAATCAAACTCCCTTAAAATGCACGACCACTTTCGATTTAAGAGGGAAAAAAATTGTTTCACCATTTGACCACTAATTTACAATGTAATTACAAACGTACGTCATGATATTAAAATGTCCTTTTCACGAGAAAACATTGTTTACCACCGGAGTCATTTAACTATCGTCAACAAAATGTCATATAAATGACTTAAAAGCGCATTACGACAGGAAAATAGCTGTCCAGCGAATAGTAAATGGCCTGCACTTTGTGCTATAAATTTGTGAGAGCCTTCAGCCGTCTCTGTTAGAATCATATAATCCCCCCAAGGTCCTCTCAACTCATAACGAGAAATATACAAAATCCTTTTTCGATGCACTGGGCATTCATTGAATATTCAAAGCTATGATTGAATATGCCCAAGAAGCGAGAGAAACGGAAGGAAATTCGAATAAAAATGGAAATTATGAGCAGTCGAATGAAATACAAGATCTGAAAGACAATGGAAAGCATTTTCATCAAAACATCACACATTTATCTGAAAAATTCAGACCTATAACGCATTGTTTTGTGAACACAACATACACATAGCTAAAATATGATAAAAACAATATTATTAAGTGTGTTGTATATTTTAGATTAAATTGCTTGTGAAGGAGTAAAATCCTAGATCTTTTATAGACTAGAACGCGCCGAATTTATGTACAGACGAAGTGGGGAACATAGCAGCCACCATTCATGATGAAAACTCGACGAAAGAAGCTCGGTTTGTTATCATTAGTCGAAAAATTCACCTCGTTGCGGAAGTTAAAAAGCTAGTTTACTAGAACAGTGGCTTGTTCAAAGCACCATTTCCGCTCCGTAGATCACCGTATGTCAGTCATTTCAAGCTATTTAAGAGTAATTTTGATTTGAGATATGTTTAAAGAATGTCCGCCCTCGCATAGCTGAACGCACTGTTATCGTATGAAGGTATCAGTTGATACATATACTCAGACATACACAAATCTCTGACGAACCGAATCGAGTTGGGAAATAAAATCGACGACGCGAAGAGTTTAAGAATGGTAGAAACACTGCAAGCTAGAACAGATAGCATTCATCACAAGACACTAGATAAACAAGACGAAAAACGACAACCAGAATAACCAAGCTCAACGCAAAAAAACGTTTGTCGTTTTGTGAGATTTCTTTCTATCTTTTTCGCATTTGAAATTTCTTTTTCACCCTTATTCGTTTTTGGAGTTTTTTTTATCTGCTAAAAACAATTATAGAAGCTACAGCCCTCTTAGGCAGCCACTAGAGCGGGAAGCTTGTACAAAAGTACTATAATCCACAGACCAAAACCTCGGGAATAATACTGGTGCCTATATTGAGAACCAGCGAAGCAAAACATTTCGGGTGACGGCTTAATTTTTCAAGATCTTGTTGTTGTTGACATGGTCTATTCAGTGCGTGAACCCTCTAATTTATAAAGAGGATAGTTCGCTCTGCTATGTAAACATACCGGTTAGTATTAATGAATGCCTACATACGAGTCTACCAAAAAAACATATGTTAAACCTAAATGTACTTACCCCAAAGTTGTCATTGTGACAATTGTATACCAAAACGAAGCGGGAATACTTGTGAACTTTGTGTCTCTTTCTCCTTTCTCTACGTAATACATAACGGTGGCAAATATAATAATGGCCATCGAGAGGGAGAAGAGAAGGAATCCCAGTTCTGAGGCACAGCTCTTGAGTGTATAACCCAAAATACGTAGTCCTCTTGAATGTCGCGAAAATTTGAAAATTCTGAAGATACGGAACACTCTTAATGTCACAAATGCTCCGCTTATGGAGTTATTGGGCATAAAAAGACCTATGTAAAATGGGAGTATAGCTACAACATCAATGATACTAAGAAGATCACGAGCAAATTTTATGCGGTCTGGCGCTGCGTAGAGTCTCGCTAGATATTCAACAGTAAACACAACGACACAAGCTGCCTCCAGGCCGAAAAATATATTCTTATGAACCTCGCCACAAGAAGTCTTTCCTTTGCAGGGCAGTGTTTCCACCACTGTGCTTATAACACTGACAGCAATAAAGAGTCCCGTGATGTAATACGAAATGGACGCCAACTTAGAACTCTGAGGATTTTGGAAAGCGGTCCAGAGATGTTCGCGAACAGTTTGATCTACAACCTCATCCCCATTTTGCGATGAATCGTCCATCTTATCCGGTTCGAATATTCTCTCCATACATTCTTTCTTTCTCTCCCGAAAATCTTCCCAACAACAGTCATGCACAACATCTTCTGAGATACCAAAAAACGCGAGCTCGTCTTCGAACGACGAGACACATTCACCGCGAGGATAGTGCAGCTTACCATTTCGATAATAATTTAAGACATGTCGAAAAAGATCCGGATCTCTGTCGAAGAAGTACTCATTCGTCTCCGAATCGTAGAAATAATCTTTTTCATCGCTCCCTAGAAGAGTTTCTGGGAACTTTGCCAGCGTATTTCGCCATGTTTCAAATCGCCTTCCACTAACGTTGATGGTGACCCGTTCTTCTGGTTTTGCCGACTCCGGTGGCGGAGGCATAGGCGCTGTTGCTAAAGGCACCCATCCTATGGCAGCCGCTCGAGCAAAAGGCAGCCAAGCCACAACATCAGCCGCCATGACAGACGAGTACACGGGGTAAAATAGAATCTCACATCAAAACTTACAAAGACAGGTGTACAGCTCGGTTTTTGACAAACAACCCAGGCTAATTTATGCCCAACGGCCTCCTCATCCAGTCTGGCCTTTTCTCGCCATTCGATTTATCAAATCTACTTGCAAGTATCCCTTGATTCAAACTATCTGCTCGTCCAGTATCGAAGAGTCCGTAGTAAGTTCACGAAGCCGTGAACATTGACGGCAACAGTCGGTTTTCCGACTCACTCATGAAACACAGGGCTAAATTGGGCCATAGTTGAGGGATTTTGGCTGAGCACCACTGATTGTTTTCAAATGCTAAGATGAGTTTCTTCGATGTAAACAATCATACTTTACTCTCGCCACGGTAGGATGAGCCACAAAAGAAACTTGCTCTTGACACAAGCGATTAATCAAGTTGCCAGAGGAAGTACAAAAGCCTTCTTGGGTTTTTCCGACTGATGGGTATCTAATTTCTTCCAACCTGGTCGTTGTAAGGAAAGCCTAATTGCGAAGGAGATGGTTAATTAGCAATATATTAAACACAATTGAAGCCACGAGCCAATCAGAAGACAGCAAAGTGACTGCTTGAGTGAAAACAATCGGGATTCCTTTTGTATGGCTGTCAACTATTCCTTCACGAATTTGCAAATATTATCATCGTAAAGCCTAGCTTACCGAAAGTACAGGATACTATCATCGGAGTACGTGACTACTGTTATGATTTAACTTCTCATTTCAAGAGGAAAAAATCCGAACAAGAACCGAGAACTCTCCAGTTCAATCACTTTAAGGAAACTCAATATCTAAGACCTAATGTCGCCTTACAGGTCCGGTTCTATTGCTTAATAAATAATGTAGAAAAAACTCCGCGGAATATGTAAACCACTAAAACCGAGCAATATTCAAATATAAATTGTCTTTACAGGAAGAATTAATTCCCAAGATGCGCTCGCCTCCGATGTCGGTTTTCTGCTTTTGTCATCGTTAGAACCCATTATCTTCGAACTCGTTTCGCAATAAAATGTAAATTTGGTTTCTTTTTATTCAAATTCTCGCTTTGAAACAGGCGGGGATGAATTTGCCCAGGCGGGAGTTCGCAACGGCATATACATTTTTAAGGAAGAAACTCATTATCATCATCGTCCAACAGCCTTCTGAACCTTCGATAACAAACTTCAACAATCAGAGATGCGAAGTATAAAACACGAAGCCTGAGACTGTTGAACAAAAAAAGGATTAAAATAAGCTCATGTACTCAGTTTAGAAATCCTTCGCTCTTTAGTGTGAATAATTACGCAAAGATCTACATACACAAGTTTTAACGAACGCGTCTTCTTGGACGTTTCTCGCCATAAGTCTCTTCGTTACTTTTCTATTATTTATACACATTTTGGGCTGAGTAAATCAGCCAAGTATTACTCGACAAGAAAACTGATATAGTACTTAATTTCCACAGTAGCAGTGCCTATTTCTTCGCCGAGAATCGAAACGTTGCGAATTTCGTTTTGTTATGCGTAATATTCCTGGTTCATTCGTGAAAACTGTTCATTTTTCTGAGCGAAATGAAGTCTGAATACTTCTGTAGTCCCGCTTTTTCCCGCGAAGTCTATTTCGACTCGATAAGGAAGAAAAACAATATCTCACACAATGTATAAAAGACTATTTTAAACTCTTTTAAGCCATTCTTATAAAGGTGTAAATGTCCCTTATGGATGAATCTCATTCTCATAAAGAACAAGGTGCTGCTAATTGTAATCGTCAATAAAACGAAAAGTTYTTGAAAAAAAATCTTCCACCAAAGAGAATCCTTAGACCTTTGGACACTATATGGTGTAAGCGTCTGTGAATCGACCGGGGTTTCCCAAGGATGAAAACACAAGACAGTTTCAAAACATCTGGTTTGCCACGACGGACGTCACGTGACCAGCACCTGCCGAACGATGACAGTTTTGGCGGCGAATTTGCATGCTGTGTTTAGGTTACAAAAACGCGCGCGCTAGTTCGATTTGAAAATCTGTTGCGCTCAATTTCATGTCGTCCCTGTAATTATTTCCCTCAAATCCACTCAATGTCTGAACGTAAGTCTGTTCACTTGAAATAATACGTTCAGCTATCGTCTATTGTCTAGATATTATCTAATTGTCTATAAATCGTCTTGAAGCGGCTAGTTTATACGCCAGACGTCCAAAATCCTTTTAACAAAGGTATAATTTCTGGGCGGTGGGTCCTCTTTTTGGAAAAGTGTTATTTTGTTTTGAAATGCAAGTGATCGACGTTATGGGTTTAGAGAACAGCAGGGTGAATGGATAACTGATGCGACCACATTCCCCGACCATAAAAAGATAATTTGTCTCACAATTGGGGGTTGGTCGTCCACAGTGTAAAGAACTAGATTAATGTTGGGCCAAACTGGCGACTTTAGTGTCATATGACAAAGATACAGGACAAAGCGTTTAATTTTTCCCGCCCAACCCGATCAAATGCCGTATTCTCTGATGTTTTTTCTTCACTCACTTTCAATTAATTTATTCTTGTTCTGATGTAAGATTGGATGCACACTCAACCTTACAGACATATCGTACAGTATACTATTGAAGTTAAGAGGCTATAAGTTAAGCCAGGCACTCTTAGCTCAATCCACTTTATGAAACCGTAATTGCTTYATTATAGCAAAACCAGGAGTATATTAAAATCTCTTCAATTAAAAATAAGACTAAGACTTCATCATTCACCGAGGCACAGAATCACACAATAGATTCATTGATTTCTGTCACAAAAAAATCAAAAAGTTGCTTTACCATGGCAACCGGACAATATTGTAAGCACGCTCGTAATTCATAGACTACAGGTGCCTCTTTTAGAAAAGGAACGTATATTACTGAATTAAGTTAGAAGTTTGAATGAATAACGACTTTTTAGCCAGAGGTTTACCAACGGGAGACGACATTACATTTTGGTTAACAAATTCGTCTATTGCCGCCTTTGGCATATTATTTACATATTAGTTAGCCATTATTAAATCATCATCTATTATACTAACAAAAGAGTACACGTCTAAAAAAATGGGCTATTCTCTCGCCTTTGACACCAGCTGATCACAGCTACGAATCCTTGCATTTCTGATACGATCATGAATTTGTTTCCAATCTTATCCTTTATCAACACCAGGCTCTTATACAAGAAGGAGAAAGAGATTCTTGACGATTAATTAACGACAACAATATAAATACTCCCATGAAAAACATAACAAGCAAGGCTGGATACGTGAAATAGCGAAAAATAGCGATAACAAAAAGCGAGCGGTATTAAGAACAAGGCGAGAGATATCCCACTCTATGGGTGTTGCAGATTTATCAATTTTGATTGTTTTTAAATTTCTCATGGTATTTCAACGTGGGATTTTAAGCCAAATGGGAACTGAAATTAGCTTTCTTTTTTGCCGTTTAGTTAATATTTCATAAGGAGTGAGCCTACCTGGACCGCGCTCTAATTGGCCACTACAATAACAATTTACTTGTAAGAAAAAAATGCCTCACATTTCGCAGCATTTTTACACTTAAGTCTTGAATGGCTTCTCATTGCTATTGTTTACACTTCTGATTATTTGATAAGGAAGAGAAGCCCACACAAAGGGAGACTGAGAGAGGGACGACGCAGTTGGGTGTTTACAACAAATCGATGGGTTTCAAGCGGGACGCCAACCAAAACCCCACCACTAAATATACGCAGGCTTAAACAGCATATGCTAATCCCTGAAACATAAATAGATAAAGATGTCAACTCCGTGGGTTTTTACCACTGGGATATACGTAGAAATTGCTCAAATCCGGCAGCGATGAATTATTCATAACTTTGACAGCTGTCACTCAAGAGTGTTCCATAAGCTTTCTTCAGTTACTTAGATACAAAATGTAGGAAGGAATAATTTGAAAACCTATTCGTGGTAATGTGCATTCATATATAAAAGCAATCAATTTTTTTGGGGGTGGAAATTAAAGTGCTCAGTCGAAGCGCTTTGCGCGCGCTATGTGAAATCATCGCGCACCAGGACTATAACTGATACATGTAAGATCACGTTTTTCAAATACTGCAATAATATAGAAGCATTTCATATAAAGTGTGAAAAAGCTATTTTTTACATGACATCTTACCACGTGCGGATAATTCACGTGTAAAAACATGATAATTGATTAACGTATACCTTGCGCAACACATATGTTCTGTAAAAAGCCACAAAAGTTCACGCATCGAAGGCATAAAAGCGTTATAAGAAGATACACCACAAATTCAGAAGTTCGTATTACGTTTACGCCTAAGCTAAAATAATGATAACGCAAAGGTGCGAAAATAACGTACGTAAACGGCCATCAAAATTTTATAAGGCTACATAGTATATTCTAGGAACGCAATGCATTATTCCTATTGGAATCCACGTAAATGGTGGTACAAAGTGACAATTCTAAACTAAATTACTTTCTATCAATGCCACACTCAGAGCTGGCATAGTCACTTTGAAACAGTTAAATCCCCTTTTAGGGAGTGATAAGACGACACAAAATGCAATTCGGTATTGTAATTCAGCACACGACAGTTTCTGAAATAAGTTGAAAAATCTTTTAAATTTTACAAACAACCGAATACGTATTTTGTGAAATAGATGGAGGACACGTTAGAACAAGTCGAATATTTAGTATAATCGTTATTTAAATGAACACGCGGCATCAAAAAAAACATCAATACGAAGGCGCAAAAGAATCAATTTAGTCAAACAAAAAGAAATTTGCCATATTATAGACTAAACATACTATCAAATACTCGTAAATATTATGACAAATCGTCGCAATATTTCATTTTGTATCACCCATGATATGAAACGACAAATTTAAAAGACTTTTTTAAATGATCACCTTAGGCTAGTTGTCATAGCGGGTCAGTTTACATTGCCTGAGCAATTTAGAATACCTAGCCCTATTTTCGCACAATAGAGACTTGTATGTCGGCTCTTTTGACAACGGCACAAATTACAGTGGACTTTCATCTTGCTTATAAAGTAATTCTAAAGTTTACCCATTTTCACAACATATTTCTATTGATTCCAGTTCATTCAGCTCTCCAATTTTGCAACTTCATACAACTGATCAAAAAAGGTTTGTTGTAGACAATTCTCGAGTTGCAAATAATGTCACAGCCGCTATGTTGGATGAAAATAAGAAAATACTCATTGCTTTATCTTGTTCATTCATCCAACAATTTTTCATGTTCCTCTCAGTTGCCTGCCAACATGCATGGATTTTTCTGTTGGATTCTAAGATAAACTTGGCGGATATTTTTGGAGCTGTCAACACAGGTAGCCCAAGCTCTACTCTGAAGGCAAAAAATTGAAAAAAGTCTTAACGAAATTATTTGAACTTACATACATGTTTTTCTTGCGTTTTATATACCTGGTGTGTATTTTTTTTTAGATTTTACCTTGTTAAGGCCCCTAGTTAATATAAGTGACTTTGCCTTCAGAGTAGAGCTTGGGCTACCTGTGCTGTCAATAGACAATTTGTAAGATGGGTGGGTACTTTCAAAAATATGACAGGATCCGGTAATGAAAACAAAGCATTTTTGAACAGTGTCCCGATGCTTGTGATATCTATTTCCTGAAAATAACTTGTTTTCAAGCTTGTTACCATTAAGACACAGTGGTAGAGCAATTTCTGCCACTGATGAAGAGGATGTGGACTGGCATTATAGATACTCTAGCAATAACATACTCCGTCTCAGCCGCTCAATGTCAATCTGTAACTTCTATCTATTTCAACACCTAAAATATATAGCCCATATAACAAGACTACCAAACTCAGCATTACAAAAGCAGATCCTGTTTCCCAGGGCTAGAAATAACGGGCCAGTCAAAGACATTATGTCCTTCCAAATTCGCTATATGACCAGCAAAATCAGGTTTTGAAAGGACAAATTGACTTGCCACATTTTTAGACAAAATTATCAATTTCTAATTCCCTAAATAAATCTTTTACAAGCCATTAAAATGCTTGTTAATCTTTCTGAATGCAAAAACCTATAAATAATTAAAAGAAAATAATAGTATAATAAAGTTTTTGCCCTTTCAAAACTTGACATGACCTTCCAAAATTGAGTTTGAAAGGACATCTTGTCCTGCATATGTCTGGCTGTTATTTCGAGCACTGTTTCGATGTAATAAAAGACCTTACAGTTGTGACATATGGTAAAGATATGAGAGCCTTACTGGGTTATCCAATGAACAAATCCAAAGGCAGATGCAGGATAAAGAACAGTTCACACCAATGTTGAGACGAATCCTCGGCAACAAAAACCCACTGAAGCAGTGGATGGGGAAATATGATGATGATGATGGCTGCAATACTTTTGAAAGTCATCTCAGAAATCATCTATTGATCTTGACATATGTCCAGGGCTCGAAATAACGTCAATGACATAGTGCAGGACAAGATGTCCTTCCAAATTCATTTTTGGAAGGTCATGTCGAATTTTGAATGGACAAAAACTTTATTATACTATTTTTTTAAATTCAGAGGTTTTTGTATTCAGAAAGATCAGCAAGCATTTTAATTGCTTGTAAAAAGATTTATTGCTTTTTGTTTGTTTTTGTTTTTTGTCTAAAAATGTGTGAGGTCAATTTATCCTTTCAAAACCCGATTTGGCCGGCCATCTAGTGAATTTGGAAGGACGTTGTCCTTTGACCGGCCATTATTTCGAGCCCTGATGTCAACCTACTGCAAGGTCACAGCTATTGGGCCCTTAAAAGTACACAATCAAAGACCCCGTTGACCTTATAGAAACATAAGTCCCTTTTCAGGTGAAAGCTCCATTACAATTAATTGACAAAGGGAGCACTTTGAATTTGTATACATAATATAATTTTGTATAAAATAAAATTGTATATACTTATAAAGACTAGAATGATTCAAATTGTTTTATTGCTACAAGCTGGTTTCATATGGTCATCAGAGAAGGCCTCACTTGCCAGGCAAATTACAATAAATAAATGACCATTAAAGTTTAATTTTGTATATATATGAATCATATATTAACAAAACTGATGAATACAGCTTTTATAACAATTACCAGAGTTCTCAATAGATGCTGGTAGTTGGTAAAAATAAGACTGAAAATCACCAGTTAATGTTTAATTCATCACTGGTCACTTGATGAAACTACATTTGCTGATTTTATATAGCAGTAAACACTTATCTATTGCTCAATTCCCATGAGATTCAGAAGATAAAAGACCGCTGGCCATGCTGTTTAATAAATGAACAATGGATACTAATGATAAATCCTTTGTTCAAGTTCAACCAATATGGCCGCTCTGATGTATATTGCAAATGCAGAATATAGCCCGCCTAAGTTTTACAGAATGACCATATAATTTGATATGTCATGTTTAACAGTAAACAGTAAACATGTTATGTGTTAGCCATGATTATAATCAGTTTTTCACAAGAAGTTGCCTTGTTCAAACAGTCAACCATCTTGATTGACTCTAAATTAAACAAAGCCTTGCACTGTATGAATAAGGCCCTTTGTAGCTGGGGGTCACGTGACCACACCTACCTTAAATTGATCAACTATCAAAAAATGATGTTCAGAAATGTAAAAAGCAGGTTTATGTTGGTAAAATGGCAAAGTCTCCAGTCGCAACTCTAAATACTTCGAAAATGACAGCAAATGTAAAATATTGATTTTTCTAAAGAAAAGTATGGGTAAATAGAACTGGGGAGCAAGCTTTGCTCTCCAGTTCTGTTTGCCCCCCAGTTCTGTTATTTGTTTAGAAAAAAAAATGAATTTATATTTGCTATCAATTTTGAAATATTTAGTGTTGAGACACTATGTCTTCTTAATAATTTATTTTGATCCCCTTTTTCCATTTTTGAACATTATTTTGTCGTTGCCGATTGATTTAAGGTAGGTGTGGTCACGTGACCCCCAGCGCCTATGCAAAGGGCCTATTATAACAATAACATAATAAAGTTTAAAAGATATTTAATAAATATATGGTACCTTATTCCAATAGATGCCAATGTTATTCTGTATGTATCATGGAATATATGCTGTTACCCATGTGGTAACCATTTTGTTTAGCTACAGCATTTCCTTTTCCACTTTATGATTTCCTAAACCCTGAAAGTTTTTACAATGTTTTGATGATAATTAATGTAAATTATCAATTGAAAAAACAATTTGCATTAAGAAGTGTATAATAATCAGTATCAATTATATTTACTATGTATGTTGATAGTTTATTTTACATGTAATTTGTCCCTCACGTATCTCTTGTTTTTAGTAATGCTTATGCAACGTTGCTACCACAGCAAGACCAACCTCTGCATTTGAATCAAAAGTCTTCTAAGGACCATTTTGTCTCGATTTAAATGATCTCAGCTTGTGAAATTATACATAAGTACGTTCAAACTTCTGCGTTTTCTTTTATCGAAATATAGAATTCATTAAGCTCGAATATCTCGAGTATCCACGTAAATTTAAGTTATTGGTCAGAGATTTGCAGGTTGTGTGCCAGATCGGCTTAATTGCAATTTAAACAGCTATTTTTCGGCACAAAAAACGTACACTATAAATATAAATCATTTTAGCTTAGTAATTGGAGTTCTATTCGCATAAATACAAGCTATCTTACCTGTACTCGTCTTCTCTGAACTCACCCACACTGCGCCATTTTTTAAACGATTGATCAAATGACAGAACCGCGCGCTCCTGGGTCTTGCATGCGCACTCGTTTTGGCGCGAAAAATTTGTTAAGGTGATTGTAGGGAATAATTGGAATATTTATTTCGTCTAAAAGTTTGTGTAAAAAGGATACAAGATTTTTACTCCATTTTGGTGTTTTACTGCTGCAATCTTTTACTAAAAAATGTTATTATATTTTGACATATTCATTACAAATACAGGCCCGTAGGTTGCCTTTCAAGTGGGGGGTTCGTTTTATCATAATGCAGACCTAAATTATATTTTTAACTAAATTTGTTCAATGCATAGTATTGTGTAAAAATCGACAGCTAGTATGAGCAGTTCATACAAATTACCTCAAAAACATTTCATAACAAAAGAATTTTAAAATAAAACAATAGAAAAAGAGAAACACCAGACCTTTTAAGCTTGTGGGGGGCAAGAACATTATGTCAATTTTTACCTACCTCTCATCTTATAGGGAAAGTGCTTGAAGGAAAACATATCAAGAGAAGGAAACAAGTTGGAAAGGGAAAAAAATGACAAGAGGAAAACAAAGAATAGTGATAAAAAACCTACATCATGTTTTGAAAATCAAATGTTACACTATACAAGTATTTAGAATACGTTTTATTATCTATTCAAATACAGATTGGTATTTATTACAACACAAAAATAAATTATACTACTAGTAAAAGCAATTAGCTACATTGATATGGCAATAAATATATGATATTAGACACTTCATGAAATATGCAGTATGTACAGCAGATTCTATTACATTGATAACAGTAAAAATTATTAAATAGTGATTTCATTACATGTGGAGACAATTTCTCTTAGTCTGTGAAAAGTTTGGCAACAGTAGCGGTTGCAGGGGAGGCAGGGTAGTGGATGTGGGGGAGGCAGAGACACAGAACCCCTTTCCACCACAACCACCCATAACTCCTCTTTTGTCCTCTTCTTGGACAGTAGATATTCATCGTTTTAGTTTATTAGCAATTAGGATAAAAGCCCTGATAAATGTTCACAATTTTTTCATATTTCTGCATCTACTCTTGGACACTAGAAATATCTGGATAATTTTTGCTATTGTTACTACCAGTTCTAACACAAAAGTGTTTTATTTCTTTTCACAGACAGAGGAATTGCTCAGAATTACTGGTAGCGGCTACACTAGATCTATAGTTTGGACATTCACTGGCTTTCTCTTGAGTATTATTTTACTTATTGTTGATCAAGTAGGTTCTGTAAAAGAAACATAGTTAATAAAGCCAAGAGGCTGAACAATGAAGTCAGTTTAATTCATTTGAATTCATGGATTTATTATCAATTCATTTTTTTATCTTTTTCATTGTTAGCTTTGTCATAATTTCTTTCATTCTTCCATTTACTATCCCTTCCATCCAAGTTCCCACTTATCCGGCAACCTACACATAAATCCAGCTATCAGTCTGTCAATCAACTCTACATGTTAGAAAGAAAAGAAAATGCTTACCGTTCCTTATCTATTCATGTTTGAGAAAGCGGACTGGGATTGGTTTATCTCCTTTCATCTTTGTTGGGTCAATGGCAACAAACTAGCAATAAAAAATATAAAAATGCATAAATTCAACTCAAAATTAATAAAATGATATCATAAAGAAATAAAAAGAATCAAGTCAAAAATTCCACGATCAGTCGAAGCCGTTGAAATACCTGACATTCCCACGAGGCCTGATCGCAAAAGTATGTTTCATTTCTTGCAACTTTGCATAGAATTGACTGAAAGTTCAAGCATCGAATATATGGCGATCGAAGCAAGATAAAATGTTTAAAACTAAAAACGACAGCCTTCATATTTGTATATGTCCCTAACACTATTATTTTATCTAATTCATTTATTTATTTTCGAACTTTTTAGTCACAAACAGTTGTTAAAAAAAATTTTTGAACTAAAGTTTATTCCGTGCGATCGTTTAGAAAAGTTAAACTAACTATTTTATAAAAAAGACCGATCTTTTCACACCAGAAGGAAAAGGTTTTTAAATTAAGAGAATATCAAATCATGGAATAACTTTTGGCGCGAGAATGTAAAACATGTCGCGCTTTTACCTGAGCCACAGCTTCGCCTTTCGTTGCACTTTCTGCCACGTAATTTCCATCAGAAATAGCAACTCCTACAATTTGTGTTGGCTGGCCAGAAGACACAGCTATTTCTGATGGTGTTTCTTGATGTGTAGCTATAGGACGAACTCGATTCAAGCTTGCATAATCATTCCACTGCATTGGTAGGGAGGCGACGGTGTTGGCCTGTAAGTATGAACCGCTCATCATTGTCGATGGAGAAAAAAGTGGGTTTGTTGAATGGGATTGTGGAGAATACATTCCCTGTGTTTGGTATGCCATCTGAGGAGAATATGGTGGGGTCGTTACCAGCAAATATTGTGGCTGCTGAACTGGGTAATACACCGCGTTTCCATCCACACCACTCGTGTAGAACAGTTGATGATTCGCTCCCATCGCTCCTTCGTGCATCATGTCTTGCCGATGATAATGCCTAGAAGTGTAAGATCTGCCACTCTTCCTCCGTATCGCCTTTCCAATGCTCAACTTCTTGTCTTTGAAATCTAGGGCTTCGTGTTCGCGGACAGAATCTGCATCTTCTTGGCTTTCAAAGGTAATGAAAGCATAGCCTTTGCTAATCCCGTGTTTATCTCGCACGATTTTACTCTCTTTGACCACGCCGTATTCTTCGAAAAATGCTCGCAGGTCGCTTTCGGTTGTCTCTCTGTTGAAGCCTTTGACAAAGATCCTTTTAGTAATGTCGTTATCAGCCATTCTTGAGTGTTATAGACGCCACAGATAAAGAAAGATGGAACTTGCAGAACTTTCGAAGAAGGCGCCGGTAAACGTCCACTCGACACACATGGAGGGGTGGTGACGTCATGTCATGTGACATGGGCAGGAATCTAAAAATATGGAATTGTAACAAATGGACCTGAGTTTTACGGAATCAAATTGAAACAAATAAATTTGGTTGGACAAACACATGGATACATTACAAAACAAAAACTTAAGAGTAATAGAATAAAAAAAAAAAATAACAAAAAACAAAGGGAGGGATAAAAGGAAATCAAAAAGCTGAAGAGAAATACAGTTTGAAGGGAATTATCAGTCCAGACATATCAATGTGAAATTTTGTTTATGCATTTTCTCAAATGTAATGAGATTTTTTTTTGCAAATTATCATAGCTTTTAACGCCTCAGCTTGTTAATTGACTTTTGATGCACTTTAGACTTCAGTCTGCCTTGAGGCATTTATACAACTCTTGATATAGTCTTCCAAGACTCCCCGTATCCTCGTTTCTGAAGTCTTTCCAAGCTGATTATCTTTGCTGTTTAAAACTCCAGGAAATATAAGGTACAGCCATAATACTAACGGCGCGCTAAACTAGGCAAGCAGACTGGAAGACTTCTTGTGTCTTTCTTCTAGAAAAACGTAAAAACTTTTTTCGTACATCCTGTTTATCTGCATTACTTTCAGTATTTCTGCATCTAAGAGAGAGAAAATAACACAAAAGTATATAAGAATGTTTTTTTCATCCGTGTAGTCACTGCATCATCGCTGACTTCTATCTGATATCCTTTATTACGATAAAATATTTGGTATATATTTGAGGCAACTTTTAAGGAATTTACTGGACCCATTTTGACCCAGAAGTTTGTTCAAGACGAAGTGTTCAACGAATTATACGTAAAAGTCCACTAATATTCTAGGAGTTTCAGCCGTCTCGGTAATGGCATCATCAAATGTAATGTTGAACAGTTCTATTTTTAGACGACCAATCACGAGGAGGATATTAAAATATTACAACAATTTCAAAAGGTTTATATGGGGTTTAACATGACAAACGGTTGATAAAATTATCGCTATATTCTTATTCCCACTCAGCGACGAAGACAAGAAAAAACATTTGAAGGACGGAACAAACTGACGTTTATATGAGCGCGCGTTGTAAACAACGGGCACACGCTTAWTCGAGGCCTTGTACTTGTAGCTATATAGTGTGCATAATATTGGACATTATACTCGCTATATTGTACTTCCATTTTTACWAGATCAAACATATATTCCCTAAATTACACTGAAAAAGTACATTATAACCATGAATAAAAGATAAAATGGCATMCGACTTGGCGACAATTGAACCAGCCGTACATTTTAATTTGAATTTTTACTAGTGCAATTTCGTTCACGATAAATTATGAATAAGCTCTTATTTACCGAACAACCGGTAAAAAGCAAGAGCGAGATCCCCTTCGAGGCATATTAAAATAATGTACTGCCTTTAATAAGAAAACAACACAGTTTGTCTTCAAACTTTCACTGGAAAAAATAGCGCACTTTAAAGTTTGTAAATTTGATGTAACTTTGATGAAAGTGTCTGTAAATTTAATGGAAATCATTTACAAGAATTTTGGACAATTACATCATATTTACATCAAATTTACAACCTTTTAAAGCGCGCGATTTTTTCCAGTGTAAATTCAGTGAAACGTCGAATTTTATAAAGTCTAGTTCACGGCTATAGAACGATCAGTACTGAGTCTATGTATGTATAGCATTTGTAATGACGAATGATGTATGATAGAGAAGTTAAAAAGTTGCAATTAACCCATCAAAAATTAGACATTAATACAACTATTAAGCTCGTAAGCAGGTGAAGAACAACAAAAACCTATGAATACTAAAAAATACTATATAAAAGGGTTACCCGTAATTTGCAAATATAATTGAACACATGGATCGCGGAAGATCTACACAAGCATTAATTAAGCAACGAAAAAAAATTAAAAAGTCTAATAAATCGCACATAAAACTAAAGTGGTATAAGTCTTTAAAAACTATGGTTAGAGTTCRGTTATTATTAAAATATTGAAGATCAACAGCAAACATATCAATCTCAATACATATTGCAATTATTATTAGAGTTATTTTATGTATGCCATTTCAATTTCAAATTCGGTGGCATGTGCAGGAAAACGGGAAAAAAATAAAACCTATACAATTCGTCCACATTTTTGTAACGCTTTAGTCTTTAAGTTCGATATTCGGATAGATATAAGTTGGAACAACTGAACTTGCTTGGAATAAGTGAAAACGAAGACTGAAAGTTGGGAAAACATCCATTATTGGACGAGCATCTTTTCATCATCTGCCACTTCATTTTAATTTCTCTCTCAATCTTAWATTGCGGGCAATAACTTGACGCGTGAGGTCCCGAATGCAATTCGAAAATTCGCGTCTGTTTACCTACAGTGTCACCTCCCCCTAGTGCCAATGAATATAGATAGAATTGATATGGTTACAGAAAAACGCCTGAAATTATCACAGAAATTACAATGATTTCACGGTAAGAGTTCTACCGCAATTACGAACCTCAAACAAAGCACCATAGATCTGACGATACACAGAAAAAAGGCATTTCTCTGCGAAACTAGCTTTAAATCAAGCTTAATCTCGATACGAATTGCTGGAAGAACTTAGTCTTAATTCAGTTTCTAAGCTATCTGCTACTTCAAGCTTACATGCAATTGTTTAAAGATTAGTGTTATAAGGCTTAACAAGGATCAACGATGACCTGGCGTAATTTGAAACCACGACACTGAAGCCCCAAAAAGGTAAAATACTATAGTCGATTTTGTACATTTTGCTTTTTGCAAATAAAATATCATATATCGTTTTTTTTTTGGTATCATATATTATATTATATATATCTCTTACAGGTCTAATTCAAGAAGGATTTAGACACTAAATAAACTGATTTCGCAACAATATGCATTTTTTTCTGCAGGATTCTATACATGCAGAGTCGAATAGGACAAAAAATCACATTGTATTTTCGAGTCAGTAAAGACACAACAAAATGAATTTGGCATCACAAAGTGTTGAAAAATTAACATCACAGCTCTAAACACTCAAAAATGGAGAAAATCATATTCAGTTTCTCTTTTCAGGAACTAGAGAAAAGGAAATACGAAAATAATTCTAAGCAATCAGGTGGTATATTCGATTCAAAAATCTAAGTTTTATAAACGCGTTATTAGAAGTCTTGAAAATGCTCTACGATATGAAATACCTACATTACAGTACAAAAACGTAAAATCATTCCAGTTCTTGGCAATAGCAATGGAAGTTGCGCGCTTTCGCGATCATATTCTTTAGATTCAGAAATGTTAATAACCTTCTGTTCTGTTTATTCTTTTATTTTTTATTTTAAATGTAAATTCCATATTGGACCATATTGCGCAGTTGTTTAAACTGTTTATTTACGTTTAGCCCGCTAGCGGTTAAACTTATTCCTTATCATTCAGATTCAAAGTATCATTCGAAGTATTAACATTTTCCATTTTAAAACTGCATCTCATTTAGAGGGTTTTAGTTCGTGAGTAACCAGTTGCCCCATGGTGAATTGAACTATCCCGCCATGAAATATTCATCCCTCAATTTAGTGTACAAAGATTACTGGATTCAAATATACAATTTCCTTTTGTTTACTTTTACTAAATCTTATAGACAATAYAATTTTTCTGTGTAAATATKATTCTTGCATGAACCRTCGAGTAACGTCTTGCGTATTTTCAGCACGCTTGAAAAAGAGTTTTCTGTTTACGGAATTTTTATGTCAATCAAGAGGCTATAATTATTGTAATTTGGCGCCATTTTGTTCCCGCTAACCACAATTCTTTGCCTTCGTACTTCACCAAGAATCYATCTTGGAGCGTTTGGTAAATAAGTGTGGTCTTAAGCGAATTGTTGTCTTAACCAACAAATTGAATAAAACTTTGAATACGAATGAAGRTAGACACAGCATTCTGGCGATTGGTAGTCAAATGGCACCATGTTGCAAATGACTTTCTCTTTGACAAAGCAACAGTCATGGTTGGCTAGTACGCTTTTTATWGAAAGGTGATTAAATATTTATTAAACAGTAGCGATGTAAGAGATACGAAAACGCATGATGTGGCAATTTATGAAGGAGGCGTGACTTGCTTAGAGATCAAAAGCTARGCGWAGCTGGCACGAGTCRAAGCCGACCTCTTTGTAACGCCTCTCGAGTCATTTTTCTTTCACTTAGTCAGTTAATTTCCTYTGTAACTAAGCAWGGTACAGCGTTATCCTTTCTAGTTAATTCATAACATRCCATTGGCGTCCTAATAAAGAGAAGTGCACGCTTGTAGTGAAACTTTGATAGACCAAACTCTTTAGCCAATCAGAGTACGCGTTCTAAGTATCTTATCTATAGACATAAACAATTCTTAAGTTGACCAATAAGGTATTAATTAAGTCAATATATCAGACCCGTCGCTTGCAATTCATTTGCTTTTTCATTTCTTTATTTAGKAGATCTACGCCGCGGTGGTATTGCTACAGTCTTTGATCTTCAGATTGCATGAATCGACTTTTAAAACCAGAACACAACATTGACAATGCGACTCCTGGATATCATAAGCCGGAGGTAAGACAAAAATAGGTATATCGAAGGGTAGGGAGTGTTTATTAAAATCCGTGCCCCGCAGGGTCATCCAATTTTCAATRCAACTTCTTTTCTTAACGATTCTGTCCCTTAAAACGAAGGTTAAGTGCGTCCACGCGATAGCACTTTTCCGTAACATAGAAACATATCGTTCAATGGACATTAAAAAGAACACTTAAGGCAGAAATTCGTTACGTTTTTAAGAACATTACGGATATCACATCAGTGGACAATGCGGTGAAACCTTCGCGTACCGTTACAATCACAGTACGGTTGCGGCAGATCTCCGAACATTTTTATCACACGTTTGTGGATACACCACAGCAGTAATGTGGTCGCGTTTGACTTACGGATACGATCATTATACGTAAGGTTACGGTAGTAGTCACGTTTTGTTAGTATTACGGATATGGCATTACAGTTAGCTTTCCACGTATAATCCCAATACGATTACAGTAGGAATTCTTAATTTTTTATAAAAATGTTAGGAATTTTGACGGTTACTTGYGGTCAATTTATCACTTACGGATACGTTTACGATACGTGCGTATGGCTACGACATGTCATAAATACGCAACGTTTTTTTTAATTAATAAT